TTTTTTACCGACTCAGTGACGTTAAAACCTAGTGGGTAAAGTGAATAAACACCAAGGCCCAAAACTGATGAGGGCCCTAGCCTAACCTAAAATACCGTTTTTATGTTAGGTTATAGATCTTGCAACAAAATAACAAATATGAAAATAATAATATTATGATTTAGGTGTTTGAAATAAAATTTCAACTTTAAATAGCGCTTTAAAAATGTTTAAGGCCTCAGGAAATTTTATACTACAGGCCCTAAAACCCTATAGTTACACCACTGAACATCTGAACCTATAATTATTACATAATACAAATTTTGTATTTGTGACTATAATATTACTATGCAATATTTATTATGTTTAAGCTTAACAGCTATGGAATTCGAACCAGGGTTACTAAAATATATTTATTATACAGGGTGTCCCGCGAGGATTTACCCATTGCAATATCTCATGATCATAATAAATATATCATAAATATATTTTTTTTAGTTGACTCGCATAAACAAGAGCTACATGTATTATATTTTTAATTTAATTAAAATTTTTGGTAAAAAAGTTAGGTAGCTATTAAAAAAAAATAAAGATACCTATTTTATAGAGTTTATTTTGCTGAAAATTTTGACTTTTTATTTTCACTAATCTCATGATTTTTAATAATTTTTTTAGCTTATAGATAAAACAGCAAAAAACTGGTTTTTATCTGGGCGGCCCCCCTACGACTAATGATGGGGATATCCTCACGGGACACCTTGTATATAGGTAAGTAGGTATACCAAATTACCAACTAATAACATTATGCAGTACTGCAGTAGTACCCAACACCTATATAAATCATTMAATTAAAAATATGTTTATTTAATTTACTACTAACCATCGGTCATGTTCATCCAGACAACTTCTTGTTCACGATAACTTGTAATGTCTGTGTAAAAGCTAAGCGGTACGTACCACTTGTAATCGTACTGAGACGGTGCGGCTCGATTCTTTACCTTACTGGAGATTTCTGAGGTTAAAAGGAATCGACTTTGCATTGCCGTGAACGAAACAGCGTTGTTTGAAGACGAACTATTTTCTCTGCTTATCTTGATCACCGGGAAACCCATCTGACAGGTCCAAGTATCCATTATGGACTGAAAACAAAATCATTAAAATCGAAACTAAATCGGGTKACTACCTAGTCAGTCACAGCCTATTATGATTCGCTTACTCTGACTTGTACGGTATTTTTTGCGTGTAGGCTAAGCACACTCCACAGGTCTGTAGTGTCTGCATTCCCGTACTTGTGTGTATTCAAGTAATCGTTCAGTCCGCTCCTTAAGGTTTTCAGTCCGAGAAATTTTTCTAACATGTATAAGATCGCAGCTCCCTGTGTATAACGATTTTTAAAAAATTATAATACTACTTAACAAATGCAAATAGTAAATCATTAATTGTAATATAAAATATAAAATATGTAATACAAAAAAAATGAGCATTACTTTGCTGTACGATATGGAATCGAATATGGCCTCGATTTCAACTGGGTCGTGTACACTAACACTGATCGGATGTGAGGTGGACAACGCGTCAAGTTTCAATCCTTGCTGGGTCTTATCTAACACGAATTGATCCATCATCGACCAGCCAGGCATCACGTGGTCAACTCCACGGTATTCCAAGAAACTGGCGAAACCTTCGTTCAACCACAAATCGTTCCACCAACACATCGTCACCAAGTTGCCGAACCATTGGTGTGCTAATTCGTGAGCCACCACCACGGCCACCCACTGATGGGCGACCGCTGAAGTTTCTTTTTCGTCGTAAAGTATAGAAGTCTCCCTGTACGTAATCAAGCCCCAATTTTCCATTGCTCCGGCACCGAAATCCGGTATGGCAATAAGGTCTATATAACATTATGTGAGTTATAATGTAGGTACTATATTGATATTGTGTTATAGGCTGAGCTTATTATWACAACCATTATTATATTATTATAGGTATACCTTGTTTCGGTAGTGGATACGGAACTCCGAAGAAATCCGAATAATGATCCATGACTTTAGTGGCAGTGCTCAGGGCGAACGAAGTCTGGGATAACAATTCAGGCGGAGCGTACACTCTCACAGCAACTCCTTGTAAAGTTTGCGCATGTACGTATTGATAATCACAAACGACAAATGCCACAAGGTAAGTACTCATTTCTACAGATTCTTCGAAGTCGTCGCGCATCTAAAAATCACAAAAATAAATATTTTAATTATTATTCGCTATAAACGCGTGTCGCGTGATGAGCATAATATTTAAAAAGAACATTTATAATATATGTGATCCTACCAGTCCAACTCCCATGTATAGTCCATCGTCCATGGACTCTTTGATCGGCATGTTGAACAGCGCTATGTGGAATCTGTTCCTCAAGATCGACATACGAAACTTAGCTTTGAACTGGGGCTCGTCGAAGCAAGGAAACGCTGAACGAGCGTACGTTGGTTCGAAATGAGTCGTTGCCAAATATCTAAAATTATTATTCATTGTATAGA